GAGACAATTATGCTAAGGGGAGTTAGCCAATCCCAAAAAACATATGCCAAATGATATAAGGTGACTGACCCATAATGGGGAGCATGGGAGGAATAGACAAACTCTAGATAGGGCAGAGGGGTGGGAGAGGAAGGGAGGGGGCAGGGGGTTAGCAATGATGGTGGAATGTGATGGACATCATTATCCAAAGTACCTGTATGAAGACACAAATTGGTGTCAACATACTTTGTATACAACCAGAGATATGAAAAACTGTGCTCTATCTGTGTAATAAGAATTGTAATGCATTCCACTGTCACGTATTTAAAAAATAAAATCAATTAAATATTTTTAAAATAAATAAATAAAAATTTATTTATTTATTTTAAAGTATTTAATTGGCTCACTTCACTTAGCATTATATATGTGTATATATGAACTAACCAATGTCCCAGCTTCCCAGGGACCCCCATGCTGGTGGCTTAGGGACTCAGCCCACTGGCAGTTACCCGCAGTGGCCAGCAGGGGCAGCAGCAGCAGACACTACTTGAGAAGTGGACCGCTGTCTGAGTCCCTCTGCGGGGTGCCCTTACGCTGTCATTGGAAACACAGACAAGAACAGGAGGGAAGCTTATCACTGGTCTTCTCTCAAATCCGTCCATGTTAAAGAGGGTGCAGTGCTGCATGACGCAGGCCGTCAAGACAGCGGGCATCGACCAGGACTGAGTCCATTTCTGCTCAGATCCCATCACCCTGGGCCGGCCACCGGGTCTGAAGGCTGAATGGCTCTCTTCTGATTGGAATCCCTTCTCCCTCAGAGACCAGCCTGTGGCCACCGAGCTGCTGAGACTGCTCTCTTCCAGATCCCCCACAAGCCATTCTGGAGCCTGGTGTTCCTCGGCTGTGACCCTGCCATGGCAAGAAGCCAGCCTGAGCCGTCCTGGGCATCCAGCTGCCGGGTCCAGTGATGACTAGGTGCACGGCCATGCTCAGCCCCAAACAGAGCTGCTTAGAGTTACAAATGTGTGAATATTACACTCTTCCCTTGACAAAGTGCAGGGAGTGTCGGTGGAGATAAGAATTTTTCAACCACCAAAGGAGATTAAATAAATATGGGTACCAGTAAAGTGGGAGGAGCCCTGCACAAAAGTCTAAAGGCAAGTCCCCTCCATAACAAGTTCACGGCCTTGGGCAAACCCTGGCTCATTCTCAGACCTCAGGGGAGATGCAGGCCCTGCACACAGTGGTCCTCTGCAGGTGATGAGCGAGAGGATGAATGAGCACGTACAGGACAGGACGAGATGTGGGGCCAGGGGGATCTAGATCCTTCACTGCTCACTAAAAACTTAAGAGGAACCACAACATACAGAGAGGAAGCAGAAAGGACAGAGGGACTGGCTTTCTCTCAGAAGACCGTGCAAATTGAGACCTGTCCTTCTGCTGGGGATCAGTGCCATGTGGAAGCCAGCCTCGTGCAAATGTCCTGGGGTCCTCGGGGTCTTGGTGAAAAGCCAAGTTCAGGGATTCCCATTTCCTTAGTAAGAGAACTATTTGCTCTTCTTTCTTTCTTTCTTCTTTTTTTTTTCCTTTTTCTTTTCTTTCTTAAAAAAAAAAAAAAAAAAGTGTGTCCTGGATGCCTCACGTGATAACATCTGTTGCCTGAGAAGACAAACACTGATGACAAGCTTCTAAATTTTAAATGAACTTGTGCCTCCTGTTTCACAATTCGCTCAAGATCACAACACACAAGAGCAAGACACTTGCCCAGGACACTCGCTGCTGGGGGTGCCTGTGTGCAGAGCCCTTCTGCGGAGATTTCTGCTCCTCACCCAGAATCCTGGGAGAGGGCAAATGTCCTGAACCCTGTCCAGAGAGTTGACTTTGAAGCTATTTTTCTGGCTCAGAGAATCTACATGATTTTAAGGAATATATGTGAACTTCAAGCCTTTGTTTCTTCGTCAGTCAACTGGGGTAATACTGATTCCACACTAATATAGAATAAGCAGTCGGCCATTTAGAACTTGCTAATAGGCTTACTGTGCAGATTAAACCCCAAAATATAAGCAAAATGCCTGGGGTCCTCCTCTGGGCACCAATAACAGAACCCACATGACAACATCAGTACAACTTAGAATTTTATATGAATACCGTCACCAGGGGGCTGGGCTGTGGCTCAGGGTTCCATCCTCAGCACCACATAAAAAATAAAGGTTTCACTCTTCCCTCCAAAATACTTTAAAATAATAATAATAATAATCACCAGGCCCATCAAGTTCCTCCACGCCCTGCTCCCCTGCACTCGCTTGGAAACCATGCTTCCTCTTTCTGTCCCTTTGACAGTCATTTTCAAGTCTGGCGAGGCGTGCGTGGCCGAGTCCCCAGCTCCACAGATCTCCCCCATGCTCCTGTGGACTCCTGTCACTGCCTGTCCAGGCATTCCCTCTCATCTTTATTTACTGTCCCAAACTCGTCCTCATTATTCTTGTGGCTTCCGAGAGACTGGGCTTCCTTTAGTAGTCTTTTCTGGGGAAGTCTGCTAGTTTCCATGTTATCCATCTGTAAATGTCTCTCTTGGGTGCTCACCCTTCAGCGACCCTGAGCTGGGTCTCGGATTCCAGGTTGATAGCTATTTCCTCTTGGGCATTTGAAAATGCTTCCAATATGGCACCGACGCTGTAGACCAGGATGTGAATTCAGAGCCTCTGGGACCCGTCCCGGCTCTGTCCGTTCATATCTGACTTCCACAAGGGACTCAAGTCTCTGTGCCTTGAGTCCTCGTTGGCAACCTGGGAATAAAATCAGTCCACCTCTCCCCGAGTTGTCACAATTAAATGCCATAATTCATGTAAAGCATCAGATCACAATAACGCCCTAAACATCGCTGTCTTCTGCCTTGGCAGCTGCCGCCAAGCCCAAGGGTATCTAACGTGTGTTCTTTTCTGTGAGACCTGACGCTGTCCCTTGCTGACTCAGGGTCTTTGTCTTCATGTCTGGGGCTTCGTTCCCATATTTCCAGCTGTTGGCTTAATTTTTTTAACCTTTATTTATTTACTTCCATGTGGTGCTGAGGATGGAACCCAGGGCCTCGCACGTGCTAGGCAAGCGCTCTAGCTGAACCACCAGCCCAGGCCCTGTTGGCTTATTCTTACATATATGCCTTGTGTCCAGAAGGTAAGGATTCATTTCCTTCATTGAGATCAGAAGATCCTCAGCCATTTTTCCTTCAGCATTGCCTCTATTTCCTCCATCATCTCTCTCTGGAAGTGCCATAAAATACCTGTGGGCCTCTCTCTCTCTCTCTCTCTCTCTCTCTCTCTCTCTCTCTCTCTCTCTCTCCCCTAAGGAATAGCTTCTAGTGCCTTTGTTGATTTTTTTGCCCTACTCAAGTTTTAACTTCAGCGGCTTCATTGTCCAGTTATAGAAGTTCTATTTGGTTATTTTGCAAATCTTCCAGTTTTTTCCATGTCTTTTCATCTTTGCATGCTTCGTTTTCTTTTCTTTTTGTCCTTGATCTTTTTTCCCTGAGTGCTTCATTGGGTGGAACTATTCTTTCCCCTGGGGTCTGGGGGTTGGTCTTGCATGATGGGTGTATGCCCACTGACATTCCTGCTATGAATTGATCCCAGGTGCCTTTTGTCCTTTGGATGGTGACCTTGGTTCAAAGGGGCTCTACTCCAATCATGCCATGCAGTCTGACTGGAGCATGTGTCCCCACAAAGCAGTCTACTTCTGCCTGACACCCCACAGGTGGGGCCTCTGGGAGGTGACAAGGTGGTGAGGTCGAGGGTGACGTTTATACACGAGGGAGTCTTATTCAGCCATGGAAACGAGTTTATGTCATCTGCAGGAAAATGAATAGAGCCATCCTGGAGCATCATGTTAGGGAAGTGAGTCCAACCCAGAAAGAGAATCAGCACCTGTCTTCTCCCACGTGGAAGCTAGTGGGGAGGAAACACATCATGCAAGTAGGAGAGAGACCACCAGACTGGTAGAGGGGGCTGGTGGGGCCAGGGGTGGCATTGGGCAGTGAGATTGACCAAACTCTGTTATATGCATGTGCCAATATGCCACCAGGAAACCCGCCATTCTGTGTGATTAATATGCACAAATTAAAATGTGATTTCATAAAACAGAACTTGAGGGAAGGACTTGGGAATGGGAGGCACGGCATGAGTGATTGGTCAATGTTTGTTTTTAAGATGAAACAAATGAAAGTATGTTTGTGTGCTTCCGAGCTGAGAAGGAGATGAGAAATCAGGGTGCAGGACAGGAAGGGGTGGCCTACCCAGCGACATCCTTGACCAGGTGAATCTGTGTGCTCTAGGAGTGCAGCCGGGTCTCCCCCGCCACAGAAGGGAAGCAGAGGGTGTAGGCCCACGCTGGCCGGTGCATGTGTGCAGCAGGGGTCTGGAAAGATCCCTACTTTTCCACAAGGAAGGAGAGTGAGTCTGGAGGAGAGGACGAGGGGAACCAGGGGACCATCCCCTAGCAGGAGGGACGTGACCTGCAGGAGAGCATTAGTGGCTGCTGAGGTTCACGGTCATGAATCTAGGCGAGACCCCCGTGTGGTCATGAGTCCTCTCCTGCCCACCTGTCAGAGCTCAGGCAAGCAGACGGGGCCACTGCCTTCCACGCAGCTCGCAGGCTGAGGGCTTGGGAGGTGAGCAGAGGAAACGGAGCACAGGAGGAGACCAGGGCCAGAACACACAAGTAGGCGACCCTGACATGTGACCTCAACCAAGTGAGGAGGGGCAGTGGCTTTGAACCCAAGGGGACCCGGACAAACCCTCCAGCTGCACTGGCTTTTCATTGACTGTAAAAATCACCAGCTTTGGAGCCACACAGATGGGCAATGTGTCACATGCCTCCCAGTAGCTCCACCCTGGAGGACACCCCATCATGTAGCCTGGGGGACTGAGGAATGTCTGCTGAGGAGGGACAGGCTGCTGTCCAGGGATCTGACCACTTTTGTCAAAACCACCGACTTCACAGGGTCATGCAGACGAGCGGCTTCTTGGGATCATGCAGATGCTGAGCGTGGGTCCCCGCAGAGCCGTGAAGATTGATCCTAGTACACAGACCACCAGGAGGTCACCGTCCCCACCCCTCAGAAGGCCCTGCACCCCTAACCCATAAACACCCCCTAACCCGCCCTGGGGAGGTCGACTGGGGGCTTGGGACCCCTTTTCCATGCTTGAACGCCTTTGGAACACATAACTCTGCCAAATTCAACACTTCAGTGAGAGGCACACCACACAGCAGGCAGGAGGGGACTGGTTCAGTCACAGCTGCAGGGAAGACAGGGACAGGGACAGGGAGTGGGATCAGTAAGTTGTGTGCAGGTTCTTGAAGGATCAGCCCGGCAGAGTCCTGATTCTGTGAGAGTCAAGCCAAAATGGCTCCATTTTGTTTTGTGACTCCATTCTGTAAAACAACCAGGCCAAGTAGAAGGGTCCTGACTGGGGCAAGATGTTCTTTTCCTTTTGCTATAGAAACCAGAACACAGAACTACATAATGGGGCACTGTTTCTGTAACTAGGGAAACGGGGCTCTGTTTCTGAAACTGGGGTGACTGGGCTAACTGTGGTTGACTAAGCGTCCCTTTGCCTACTGCACTGTCCCGCTTCTGTAACTTGGCTGGCTTGCATTTGGACCCCTAAATGTCCCTTTTGCGGTTTTCAGGCTTATAAGGAGCGCCCTTGCAATTGTTTGGGGCTGATCAGGGGAACAGTCAGCCGCCACCAGAGTGCTTCAATAAAGGCTTGATTCGATTATACGTGAGTGGTCTGGAAGTCAGTTTATGACACCCCGGGAAGGGACTTTAACTGCAACAATACCACAGAAATGGACGATAAAGCCAGGAGATGGTGGGCAGGGATGGGGACATGCAGCCAAGACTGAGGAGGAATCACAGGTTAGTAATGACAAAGCCTGGGGCAGGGCTAGAAAGTTCCAGTAGAACCACCTGTGATGTTGGAAATAACCTCATCTACAGCAGCCAAAACGGCAGCATGGAGCCACTCGCACTTGAAACTGTAGCTGGTACAACTAAGAAGCCAAATGTTTACCTATCCTTAACTGTAATTTGGCTAAACCTCAATAGCCCCAAGTGGCTGGTGACTACCATACTGGGCAGAGCAGGTCTGGGTTCTTATGCACCATTTGGATGTGGGGTTTGGGGATGAGGAGGGAGGGTCTTTGAAAGAGAGGGATTCAGGGAACTAGAAAAATCCTGGCTGGAAGAGTCAACTGTATGTACTGAAGTCACAAGGGATTAAGCTGGATCCCTGATGGAGAGAGACCCTGAGCCAGGAGACAAAGTCACGGAGAAATGGGGCGTCAGGAGAGAACGGCAATAAGAGGAAGAGAAGCGGGGAGTCTGTCGACAGGAGCCTCAGAGCTGAGCAGGTTGGGCAGCTCCAGGACGGAAGGTAAGAGCAGGAGGGGCTCCAGGTCCAGAGAGGGTCTCCCAGAAAGCACACCGGAAATGGCCAAGGATTGGGGCAGGAATGGGAAAGCAGAGAACCGGGGAGGCCCGCACCCCTGCGGATTAGGGATGAAGAGTGCAGTCCCTGGAACTCAGGGCACCAGGCGGTGGCAAAGGTGGGTAAAAGGGCCAGACTGAGTCATGGTGGACACCGGACAGCGCAAGTGCGGCCTGGGGTGCTGGGGCATGGACAAGGTGGGTGCCCTCACATCCCTGCAGAAGGAGGGGAGAGACCTAGAGGGGGAGCCCCACCCCCAGCCCAGGACTGAGCCCACTGGAAACCCTCTCTGATGGAGAAAAGGCGCCCGAGGAGGTGCGCTCCGCTCTGGACTCGGGAATACCCTGACCCCTGTTAGAGGATGCGAAATCAAGGCTCCGCGGGAGAAGGAACTTCCACTGGACGCAATACAGCTGCATTCCCCTGTGCTCACCTGTAACGCCGTCCACTGCCATAACATTCCAGCTAAGTGCTGTGGGGACTTGGTAAAAAGATCTATAAAGAGTTAGGTCAACGTCTTAAAGGCCAAGTGAAGCAGGACCTTTGTCCCACCAGGCCTTGAGGCACACCTCACAGTCACGGGGATGGAGCGGCTGTGTGAGCTGGCGTGGTGGCATGTGCCTGCAGTCCCAGCTCCGAGGAGGCTGAGGCAGGAGGACCGCCAGAGCCCAGGAGCTCGAGAGCTGCCTGACCGCACAGCAAGACTCTGTCTCCAAAGTTAACAACGAGGCGGCTTACATGGTACAGAAGACCTGCCAAGGAGACAGAAGACAGAGTGCTGGGCGAACCTGTGCCTAGAAAGGGGTCTAACCCAGCAAAGATGGTAAGGCCTGTAAGGAAAGAGGGGAAGACCGTGTGGGAAACGCCGCATCAATTAAAATATAATTGTTCTTCATCATCCATAAATATTGGCAAGCTACAAATAAGCTCAACACTCACACGAGAAAGGTAGGACTACAAAGTTATCAGAAAGACGTAAGAGAGAATACCTTCGTGGCTTTGCAGGTAGGGTGGGGCTTCTCAAACAAAATTTCAAATCTAGGAAGATATTAATAAATTTGATTCTGTGAAAATGGAGGGTGTGTGTGGGAAAAGCTCACAGAGGACCAAAATGATCCCCGGCAGGCAGGAGGGGGGCTCCGTGGCAAGGCGGAGCAACATGGTACAGAAAGGTAGCGAAGGGATCCCCAAGAACCCACAAGAAAACACCAGCAACCCAATAGTTGCATGAGCCCAAGCAGTGTGCCAAGGAGCAGGCTACGGAAAGCTGTGTGGCTCCCAAGAAATGCTCAGACTCATTAGCAGTCCGAGACACGCAAATTAATGCCCCAGCAAATCATTTACACCTATTAGCCTGGCACACACTCAAAAGCCGGCTGGGGCCAAGAGTTGGCAGGATGTGGGAATATGGAACCAGGCCTGCTGGTGGGAGGCAAGGCCAGGGCCACTCTGGAGCAGTCTGGCCGGCTCAGCCTAATTAAGTCTCAGCCTCCCTAGGACCCAGCAGCTCTGATACGGAAATAGAAATGTTTGCACAGCCCCTCATGGAGACATGGCGGACGCTCATGGCAGCTCTATGTGCAGCACCGGAGCTCAAGACACCCAGCGTCCCCAGTGGGAGAGAGGACAATGGAGTGCTTTCCTGCAGGAAGCCACTGGGAGCAACCACAGATTAGCTGCACACATTAACACAGATGGGTCTGATTTACCGCTTATTGAAAAAAAGGAACAGATTCATGAGGCAATAATTTGGCCCTTATTTTTTTTACTTTTTTTATGACAGTAGAATGCATTATACTTCTTACTACACATCTAGAGCACAATTTTTATATCTCTGGTTGTATACAAAGTATACTCACACCAATTTGTGTCTTCATACATGTACTTTGGAGAATGATGTCTATCGCATCCCACCATCATTTATAACCCCGTGTCCGCTCCCTTCCCCTCCAACCCCTCTACCCTATTCCTCCCATGCTCCCGCTTCCTATTCCACCATGAATCAGCCTCCTTATATCAAAGAAAACATTCAGCATTTGGTTTGGGGGGATTGGCTAACTTCACCTAGCTTTATCTTCTCTAACTCCATCCATTTACCTGCAAATGCCATGGTTTTATTCTCATTTATTGCTGAGTAATATTCCATTGTGTATATATGCCACATTTTTTTATCCATTCGTCTACTGAAGAATTCATCTAGATTGGTTCCACAGTTTAGCTATTGTGAATTGTGCTGCTGTAAGCATTGATATGGCTGTGTCCCTGTAGAATGCTTTTTTTAAGTCCTTTGGGTATAGACCGAGGAGAGGGATAGCTGGGTCAAATGGTTGTTCCATTCCCAATTTTCCAAGAAATCCCCATACTGCTTTCCATGTTGGCTGCACCAATTTGCAGTCCCAATAGCAGTGCATGAGTGTGCCTTTTCTCCCACATCCTTGCTAACACTTATAGCTCAGTTGGTAGAGTGCTTGCTTTGCATGCACAAAGCCCTGGGTTTAGCACCACTAAAGAAAGAAAGAAAAAAAAAGTTACTAGTACTTATATTTTTTAAATGACTACAAAACAATGATCCCCATCTTGTAAGAGCACGTAACAAAAGGATAGACATTTAATTGAAGGTTACCCGGAGGGGAGGCAGTAGAGCAAGCAGAGCCCTGGGCTCAGCCTGACCCCCGGTGAGACTCGGCAAGTTCCCTAGGCTGGAGGCCATCGTGGGAATGAGCTCAACAGGCTTCAGAGGCCATAAGGAAGGAGCACGGAAAGGAAGCTAGGGCAGCCCTGCCCAAAGGCAGCCCTGGAAAAGTTTATAAGTGCAAATACAAGTGTTCCTGATATAAAGAGAATTAGAGAATAAAATAAAAGGCGTGTTTGCACAAAGCAGTAATGAAATGTGCCAAGAATTCGGGAGGGTGACTCAGTCAACCTTCTGAACCTGATGTCCAAGTGGGAACGAGAGAGAAGAGGAGGGAAGGGTCAGAGGTGGGAAGAGGAAGGAGATGGATAGGTAAATCGGGTGGAGAAGGCAGCACATTCATGGAGCTGAAAGGAGCCCGCTCTGCAGGCAAGATGCCATCAGTGAGCACAGATGACATCCTGAAGGTTTCCCAAGGCTGAGGACGAGGACCAAACTCAAACTTCAGCAACAGGCAATTCTGATTGTTCACGGGACAGAAGCCCAGCAGTCACCACCCCCCCACCACCACCACCACCACCACCCCCCCCGTAGGAGAGCTCGGGGCATCCTGTCTTGGGACATGGAGGAGGTGCAGCCACACCTAAAGTTGTCGTCCAGCCCGGGGCCCTGCAGGTGCCAGCAAGCGCCCCCAGCCCACACGACTTGCCTTTATCCTTTGCCAAAGGTGGCAAATACCATAAGGCCCTCCGCAGACAGGGGTGGGTAAAACCAAGAGCTGAGCCAGTGTGCGGCCACCACCCATGGTGCTGAGCCGTTGGCTGCCTCTCACCACCACCACTGAGGGGACATTCCACCGTGTGGCAGAGAACCTCGATGGACCTCAGAGGAGGACGAGGCCAAGTCGGGTATCTTTAGTGTGCCCCCCCCCCAGGGTCACCCAGCCTTCTCCCCTGGTTCTCTGCCCTAGGGAGTTTGGGTTCTTCAGGGCTGGGTCAGCCACACACAGGCACCTGGGGACCAACGAGCTCCCTTGCTCTGTGGTTTCAAGACTAACTCACCAATTGAGACCCCCTCCCCCAAGCAGGGGACCAAAAGCAGGAAGAACATGTAGCCCTGCCCCCTCCTGCAAGGGGGGCTTTGGCCCTGCTGTCTATCAGGCTCCGCTGGGGGTCTCTCCTCCCTCCTGACCTTTGGCCCTCAGGGCTCTCCCTGTGACTGCAGTAACCCCAGCAGCTCCCCTATCCCCCCACCCCATCCTGCTATGCTTGTGGGTCTCGAATTCCAGTGTGCTGTCTACTTCCTGTCAGGACCCTGATCCTGGTGCCCTGTGGGTACGGTAAGATCCAACCATCTCTGCCTCTATGATAGGGTCCTTAAGCCGGTTCTTTTTATGATTTTTTTTAAAGAAAACCTATATTTCTAATCATTTTGCTGTGTATACTGAGCAGGCCTCTTTTCTAAGTTCTTAAGGGTTTTAAAGATTTCTTTATTGAGCATTTACTATATTCCAAGAGCTCCGTCAGACACTGCAGGTGCATTTTCTTCCCATGACTCCAGTAGATAGATCCTGTTGCCACCGCATTTTATGCCTAAGGAAGCGGAGGCTCATGGTCAGCATTGCCCTCAGTCAGGGGCCTGCTCATCTAGGGGAAGTGTTTGAGAATCTTGGATGAAGGGCTTTACCGCCTTTGCGTCAGCATTTTGTAGAAAGTTTTGCTGGGCATTATGTTCCTCATCAAATGGCTCCAGGGGCTTGTGGTACAGGGTCAGATTTCAGCTCAATACGTCAGCCCTGCACGCGCAGTTCTTGGGTGGCCCGGTGTTGAAAAGCAGTCTACCTTTGCCTGAAGTTTGGAGATCTTTTGCCTTAGTTGGCATTTAATAAGCACTCCCCCCAAAAAAATCCATGTCCACTTGGAATGTTAAAATGTGAGCTTTATTTGAGCTGGGCACAGTGGCACACACCTGGGATCCCAGCCACTCAAGGCAAGTTCAAGTCCAGCCTCGACAACTTAGTGAAAATCTGTCTCAAAATAAAAAATAAAAAAGGCTGGGGATGTAGCTCAGGGGCAGAGCACTCACCTAGCACACACAAGGCCCTGGGTTCAATCCCCAGGAAACAATAATAATTATTATCATTATTATTATTGTGCAGGTATAAGTAAGCTAAAGAGCTCAAGATGAGAAATCCCTGTTGTAGGGCTGGCACTACCCAGGGTCTGGTGCTCTTAGAGAGGAGGTGAGGAGACACAGACAGAAGTTCATGAAGACGGGGCCAGACACCAGAGTGATGCTGGCACATCTGAGGGACACCTGAGGCCACCAGAGGCTGGGAGAGGTGAGGAAGGATCCTCCCGGAGCCCGGGCAGGGGGCCCTAGAACCGTGAGAGAACACATTTTTGTTGTTTTAAGTCACCAGGCTTTTGGCGATGTGTTACCAGGAAACTGACCAAGCTGACTCATCAACCCAGCACAAGCCTGCCTGACCAACACCATCACTTCCAACCCGAAGCACACAGTCAGTCCAGAAGAATAGCATAAGGAAAGCTCCAGAGACCCGCCAGTGAGGATGTGCGTTGGTGACCCCCATCCCATGCTCAGCAGAGGTGAGCCCGCGGGATCCCTGGCCAGTCCTAACGGGCACCCAGGGCTGACCCAACAGCTTCCAGGGCAAGGGGCGGGGGACACTGTGTTGCTGCTGCCTCTGCACCTGTGCTTCTGCTTTTCACCCAGGAGATGGTCTGCAGAAAACTCAGGGGCTGGACCCAGCAGCACTTGCCCTGTCACTGGGACCACCGGGCCAGGTCCCAGGACCCTTGGCACATCGAGTGGGGTGTGAGTCCTTTGGGTAGGGCTGATAGCACAGCGGGAAGCAGTACCAGCATTCCGGTATGTGTCTGGGTGTGTGTGTGTGTGTGTGTGTGTGTGTGTGTGTGTGTGTGTGACAGATATAGATATATATCTGTCTTCCTGAAATGTCATAGGGCCATGTGAGGGCAGCAGCCATTGTTCTTTAATGGCCCAACTGCCACCACTAAAAGCCCAGGTCAGGCACTCCTTGCTAGTTAATGACTCTGCTGATCCCATAAGCTATAAAGGGTTGATGATTGAACTCCATAACCCTTTGGAACTCTTGCATAAGGGGGAAAAAAAAACACCTTAACCAAACTCAGAGAGCACATGCCAAGTGATTCAGGTTTTTTGAAATGCTTGACCATGTAAATAAGAGCCGTTTCTTCACTGTACAAAGAACCTTCACAAACCAGCAAGGAGCCGCCCCAGGTGGGAAGAACCAGCCCTGGAACCCTTAGTGCACACAAATCGGCCTATAAGCATGGGAAAAGACCGTAAACTGCTCGCAATTAAAGACACTAAGACAAAAATAATGAGTTACTTTCAATATTGGCATATTTTTAAATTTAAGCATGGGAAACAGAAGTTTGCTCACTCACTGCGGGCTAGAATACAAGAACATCTGAGGAGGGATTCGGTTCCATACATTTTAAGAACACAAATTAACACTGCTTAAATCCTTAAAATATTGTGGAAAAACCTACCTTCTGGATCTCTGCATAAATCACAATAATGTCTGTACAAAAATATTCAGGATAGCATTATTTGTAATAGCAAATAAGTACAATCTACCCCCAAGATGTATATAGTACAAGCCTGGAGATGTCAGTTTAGTAATGCTATCTGGGTTTTCAGAAGAATAAGAAAACTCTGTAGATGCTCTGTGGAAAGACTCTCCATGTTGGACAGATTCACAGAGACAGGAAAAGAGAGGAGGGAGGGGGAGAGAGAGACCACAGGCATCTGCAGCCCCAGCAGCTCTGGAGAGGCCCCGGGGGGCCCCCAGCTGGGACCTTGGAAGGTTTAGTACCCTAATAATGCTTCACCAAGTTAATTGCCCTTCCCAAGTTTCTCAGGGCAACTCTTCACCAATTGATATGGCCCCGAATGAGGGAGACAGTGCTACAGCCCAGAACCCCCACAGGTCCCCACAGCTGCCCTGTGCCAGCACACAGGGAACTGGCCTGATTCACAGAGATAGGAGGGAGTGGGGCACAGAGGCACCGGAAGGCAATTAGGAGCCACTGGGCCTGGTGGAACCAGGGCTTTCTGGGCACTGAGGCTGCATCTTCCCAGGCTCCTCCCCTCCCCTGCCCAGTGGGTCCAGTTCTCTCCACCAGAGGCTTGCTCAAGGTCGCACAGCCGTGGAGCAGAGGGCCAGGGAGCCCTGCCGTTGGAGGCTGCATGAAAAACCACACAAGCCCCTGGCAGATCTCACCTCTGTGGCTTTAAGGAACCCAAAACCAAGCCACCCACTGGAAGATGCCCCCCAAACTTCCACTGCTCTCATCTTGACCTGAAGATCCCCAAGAAGCTCTGCCTTGGGATCCCCGTGACCACAGCTCAGGGGCGTCAGACCCAGCCAGGCAGCAGCCAAAGGAACTGGTTCACCTCAAGCAAAAGCGGCTGGTAGAAGTGTCCAGATGCACACTCCTTCAGAGGGAAGAGAAGGTCCCTCCATCCCCAGGGCAGGATGCGGCTGAGTCTAGAAGTTGGTACCAACATCTGAACAACGTCATCCACCAGCCAAGAGTCGGTGGCTCTCATTGTGACTACAGTTCTTCAAACGCATTCTATGCTGAGGCAACATTTTCCAAAGAAACACCTGCAGGGCCTGATTAGCTCAGCCATAACTGAGCCATCCAGCGGAGTCCTATGTGCAGGAAGCCACGCTAACTGTGACTGTCACAGTGCCCTAAGACCAAACATGAATTATCTCCTTTAATTCTCACAACTCTACAAAGTATTACTTTATCCCTGTTCAAGAACTGAAGAATCGCCCCCAAAAAGGTGGAACGCGCTTGGAAAAGGAGGAGAGAGAGATCACAAAGCCTGGGATTTTTACCATCACAACCTCCAAAGCAGCTGCTGACCTAAACTGTCACTAATCCTCCCAACCACGCGTCCCCCCTTCCCTAGAATCCTCCTGCCTGGAGCCTCTGTTTGGGCTCACTATTTCCAGGCCCAGACATTTTTACAACCTGGGATCACTTTGTCTTGAATTTTTAAGATTCAATGACTTATCAGTTGACAATGAGCAAGATGACTGTTGTGACAGCTTCAGAGACCATGCATCGTGTGTGTGTGTGTGTGTGTGTGTGTGTGTGTGTGTGTGTGTGTGCATGTGTGGGGGTGCTGGGGATTAAACCCAGGGCCTTGTGCATGCAAGGCAGGCCCTCCACCAACTGAGCCATGACCCCAGAGACCTGCACCTGGAAGCAACATGCCGTTTACCTCCGGCTTCATTTCTGTGCAGGAAGCAGATGGCAAAGCCAGCAGCTGACCAGCAGCAGCACCGTGCTCTAGCCACCATTGCTGGCTCTGAGACAGGCTCCCAGGACAGGGCAGCTCTTATGCCCTTCCAGACACCCCAGCCGCTCTGGTCACCGGGCCCTTTGAAGAACATGTGGAGAGAGCCGATCCGGAGCTCTGAAGGCGCCATGCAGGAGCCTGCAGCTGCAGCGAGGGCACAGCCAAGGACAGGAGGCCCAAGTTACAGGGACATTCGCCAGCCTTGCCTGCATCTCATTCATCTGTTCACAAAACAATTTTTGCTGGGAAGGGGCCACTTACATTCTCCCTGGTGAGTCCTCGGCCTGAAGGTCTGCCGTGGCCACCGCCACACCAGCGGCTTTCCTGCGCCCTCTCGAATACAGTAGAGGCTTTGTTGTGAGAATTAGCCTCCCAGCCAAGTGCAAAGGCTCGGGAGCCACTGGGTGGATGGCGATGCTGTTACCATGGTTACCAGGCTCGCCCTCCACGGTGGGTCCGTGCACCTCGCCATGAAAGCTTGGACTGGGGGGGGCGGGGGTGGTGGAATACAGCTTCAATTTGAGCCACATGCTAATAAGTTGGCCTGTATGGCCAGTTGCTGATGTCGAATATAAAACAATCATTTTGGAAAAGAAAAGAGAACTTTGGCCAAGCCATCTCTAACTACTAACCCTTGGATCTTTATTTTGTTGTCGTTATTGTTTGGAGGCTTTGGGGGTCTTTTGTAGTGCTGGAGTTTGAACCCAGGATCCCACACATGTTGGGCAAATGCTCTCCCACCGAGATACACCTCCAAACCTTTTTATTTTTTGACCAGGCTGACCTCGAACTTGTGGTCTTCCTGCCTCAACACCCTAAGTCTCTGAGATTGCGTGCATGTCCCCCAGGCCCCACCCACGTGGGTTTTAAATTCAGTGACAAAGCTCATCAGGGGAAATGGATGCTTCCTGTAGACCTTTGTTAAGAACATTTGTTTCTTGGTTTATGGTCACACAGTTTCTGTTGGTTTTACTCTGAAATTCAAAACCACGACCCTCTGACCCTGGAAAGTCCTTGAGCAGAGTGTGGCCTCCCAGGGTCACGCAGAGAGTTTTGCTCTGTAAATGGAATTTGTGCCTCTACCCAGATACTCTGCAGTATTTGTCTACTTCATGTCCTGCTAGGATAATCCTGTGACAGTTTACTTAAGACAACTATCCAAACCTGAATCACCGATACAAAAGGTAAAATAAAGGTGACCGATTAAAAGCCACAGTTTACATTTAATAGACATAAATTATTTTTGAGATCAGAGTCTCTCAAGATGTAGTACAGCTGCAGCTTCTCCGGCCCTGAAGGAAAGTGGTGATCTTGGGGGGATAGTAGATCCCTTCATAGCCCAGGACAGGTCTCCAAGAGTCTGCAGAACCAGGGCCCTGCAGAGCCGAGCTGGGCAGAGCCTGTGCAGAGAGAACCACCAGCCCTGGGTGAGGACCAGGGCCTGGGCTCATTGCAGAGGAAAGCCACCCGACCTGCATGCACACAGCCTGACTCCAGGGCAGTTCGTATTTGCCCTGGAATTTAACAGGACCTGCAGGAAGCCCTGAGGACTAACGCACACCAAGGAGGAAACAGTGCCTTCTCTGTGCCCTGAGGTTCAGATAAGCAGATATCAGGCAGTCAGGAGCACCAGCTTTGAGGCCCAGGAAGCGGGGCCCAACCCCAGCCCTCTGCTGGCCATGAGAACTTAGGGAACAGGCACCGTGGCTGGCTGTCGTGGTAAAGCAGGGACCATGACTCCCGCTCGTGACGCGCTGAGCCACCGTGGGTGGAGGGATCCACACGGTGCTTGGATGGTAGACACTGAGTGAGTGGTCACTACGATGACAGTGAGGAGGAGAAAGGAGAGGAAGAACAGACAGGAGAGAGAAAATCAGAGAAGGAGAAAGAGGAGGGGGAGAAGGGGGAGAAAGGAGAGGTAGAGGGAGGAGGAGCAAAGGAGGCCGAAGAGGAGAGAGGGAGATGGAGGAGAAGGAGCCCTGAGCAGGAGGAGAGAGAGAGGAGGGAGGAAGAGGAAGGGAGAGTGGTGCAGAGTGGTGTGGCTATTTTGGAACACTTACAACATCCTGCTGTGTGCCATCAGGGACAGGGAGAATGAGCCGTGAGCTTTCCGCATGGCATGCTCTGGGTTCAAATCCTGACTCCAACATGGAGACACTCGCGGCCCCTGACATCTCTACCCGTTCCAGATTCACTTCTTTTTTTTTTTTAATTTGGTTATTTTTTTTTCTTTTTTTTAATTTTTTAGTTTTGATTTGCTATATATGACAACAAAATGCATTACAATTCGTATTACACAATATAGAGCACAATTTTTTATATCTCTGGTTGTCCACAAAGTAGAGTCACATCCTTCATGTCTTCTTACATGTGCTTAGGGTAATGATGACCATCGCATTCCACCACCTTTCCTACCCCTGTGCCCTTCCCTTCCCTTTTCCCCTTTGCCCTATCTGGAGTTCATTTAATCCTCCCCCTTCCCCCGACAGCATATTATGGATCAGCATCCTTAAATCAGAGAAATCATTCAGCCTTTGTTTTTTGGGGATTGGCTTACTTCACTTAGAATTATATTCTCCAGCTTCATCCATTTACCTGCAAATGCCATGATTTTATTCTCTTTTATTGCTGAATAATATTCCATTGTGTATAAGTGCCACATTTTCTTTATCCATTCATCTCCTGAAGGGCATCTAGGTTGGTTCCACAGTTTAGCTATTGTGAATTGTGCTGCAATAAACATTGATGTGGCTGTGTCCCTGTAGAATGCTGTTTTTAAGTCCTTTGGGTATTGACTCAGGAGTGGGATAGCTAGTGCAAGAATTAATATCAAGAATCAATAAATGGGATGGATTCAAACTAAAAAGCTTCTTCTCAGCAAAAGAAACAATCAGTGAGGTGAAAAGAGAGCCTATTAATTGGGAACAAATTCTTACTACATGCACGTCAGTTAGAGCCCTAATCTCTAGGATATATAAAGAACTCAAAAATCTTAACACCAAAAAACACATAACCCAATCAATAAATGGGCCAAGGAATTGAACAGACACTTCTCAGAAGAGGATATACAATCAGTGAACAAATACATTAAAAAATGTTCATTATCTCTCGCAATTAGAGAAATGCAAATCAAAACTAGACTAAGATTTCATCTCACCCCAGTCAGAATGGCAGCTATTAAGAACACAAACAACGTAAGTGATGGCACACTCATACACTGCTGGTGGGACTGCAACTTGGTGCAGACAATATGAAAAGCAGAACAGAGATTCCTTGGAAAACTGGGAATAGAACCAGATTCACCTCTTGTCATTGGACTAGAAGAAAGACTCTGCCAACCACCTCCCACTCAAATAGGAATATGACATAGGAGTCCAGGCTCCAGCCGGGGTGGCTGCCACACAGTCACCTTCCTGAGTCCCCTCTTAGTCTCTGCGGAACAGTCTTCCTGCTCTAGAGACCATTCCCCAGAGCATGGCCAAGAAGAGGACCTCAGAGGCTGGCATGTTGCCCAGGGTTACTCACAGCCACTTAGCCACCACCTCACCAAACCAGTCCCTCCAAGTGCCACCGACTCATAACAGGCAGTAGAATCAGGAGCCATAGGAAATATTTGAGGTGAGGAAAAATCCACCATAACCAAGATCTCTGCCTGCTGAGCAGAGCCTGGGAGCAAGGAGTGAAGACCAACAAATCAACAAGACTCAGGGGAACAAAGGCCCCCATCCGAATTTTTTTTTTTTTTTGGTTCTTTGTAGATATACATGACAGTAGAGTATATTTTGATATTACTACGCACACATGGAGTATAACTTATTCTCATTAGGATGCTATTCTTGTGGTTGTACATGATGTGGAGTCACACAAGGCTGGGAAAGTTATGTCCAGTTCATTCCACTGTCTTTCCTATTCTCATACCCCCTCCCTTTCCTTCATTCCCTTTGTCTAATCCAATGAACTTCGAATCATTGGATTATATGTTAGCATCCCCATACCAGAGAGAACATTCAGCGTTGGTATTTGGGGACTGGCTTATTTCATTAGCAAGATAGTCTCCAGTTCCATCCATTTACCAGAAAATTACATCATGACATCTTCTTTATGCTGAGTAATATTCCAGTGTGTATTTATACCACATTAAACTAAAAACAAGGTTACTTCCCTGATGACAAGAGCAGGGTAGCATTGCCACTTTAAGAATTTGGAGTGGCAGATCCAACTGTGAGTGTGTCTTTGTATGTTTATATGCACACTCTCAGCATTTGAAGTACAGCCCACAGATTGCTAGAGACTAAGCCTCACTTCTCACACATATCCAACTTTGTCTCTAGTGAAGACACCAACCAGCCAGGAGAAGAAAACGCCGTGGCCGTTCACAGCCTCCCATTTAACTTGAAGTTAGAGAACAACACCTGGGTGTTAGCCAAAATTTTAGGAAGGAGCTCACAGTTTAGTTCAATCATTTTACAGTTTGCGTTAATCAGATGACATTTAAGTTCCTGGGTACACTGTAGGCACGGCTGCATCAGAATCCTCACGTGCCTAAGGTCCTTCCGGCCGTGATGACGCTGCTGGCTGTCCCCATGGCTTTTCATCCATGCTTGGCTACCCCAAGGTGTGGGAACCTCTTCAGAGATGGCCTCTGCCCGTTCCAGCAGAACCCCTAAATATCTTTGTGTCTCCCAAGCAAACCATTTCAACCTGATCTTGTTCTCAAGATCTAAGATCTAAGCACAGATCGTTCTGTGCTTCGGGTACGTTGGCCGTGTCTCTTGCCTTCTGTGTCCTGATACCTGGACATCTAGGACCTGGCAGGCCCTGGAGGGACTGCTCCTGTCCCAGGGATGGTCTGCGATGTGCCTGAGAGCGTGCTGTTCCAAGGCCAGCCCTCACCAGCCTCCGGCTCTCACACTCCAGGCCTCCGTCCACTCACTCCAGGCTGCATCCAAACCACAGGGACCATCCAAGCCCCAGAACGTGCTGGAACGACACACCAGCCAGTCCTGCACTGCTCACCCCCTCTCCCGTTCCTTCCCACAGAGCCTGCCTCCCCTGCCTCTCTGCCTCCTGCCAGCCCTGGGCCCCTCGTGTGGCCTTCCTCTTGGGAACAGTAGTCCCCGTCATTTCAGGGGCCGACCTGCTGACCGTGTGAGCCTTGAGTTTCCTATTTATGCTGCATTTCAAAACCTCAGAGAAGGAGATTTTTCCTGAAGCAAAGAAAGAGTGAAAGTCAGAGCCGTGGTGGGAGGGACGACACAGCTGTGGGCAGAGCTGC